TTTAATCAAATTTTTAAAATTATACGCTTTGATGATGTTGCGTCACGTCAAAATTTAGGTCAATTTCGTGGACCAGAAAGTCAATCTGATACATGGATTTACCTGCCCAAACTATTTTTTCTGGTTAAAAGTATCCCTTAAGCTAACGTTTTATCGCAAATCCAGCTTGGGTAAATAAAACCAAAAAAATTGAGAGCGTCTCGAAGACTAGGCACTTGAGCTAATCGCCTGACATTTTGACCTTTCACGCCGCGATCACTATCTCCAACATTGATCCAGAAATGTTTGCCTGTGGGTCTTATCTCCAGTAAAATAGTCTTTAGGTCTCTAGTGTCAGCTACTGTAATTGAAAATACGTATCAGGCTGCAAACGAGCATTTTAGGCAGATGTTTATTTTGAATAAGAAATCATACATTTAGCGGTTGGCGACTACAGACAACACACGCAACGAAATATCAGATAATAAATCAGCATCGAGAGTAATGGAATACTAGTGGAATATATAGTAGACGAACTACTTGGAGTAAATTCTTACCTTTGTGGGGAGCGTTGCGTGACATCCCAAAAAACGGCTGCGGAGGAGACTAGGCGCCGGTCTAATGATCTTTGAATTTTCAAAAGGGAGGCCTCGTCTGCATATAACTTCCGGCTTTTATGTGCAAACGGTGAACAGTATGGAGCAGCAGCGGCGAGAAACACGAACAAAAACCCGAGGTGAACAGCAAAAGGCATACTTGTTTTCATATGGGAAATGCACGAGTCTAAAATCGTGAGTCCTGTTAACTGTCTTAACTGGGTAACTTGTGTTGCTATCATGCGTGGTCCTGAGCTGCCAAGTCTTTTGTCTCTGTCGTTGTAAATATATGTCGCGTTTTCCTAGTTGACTTATCGAACTTAATGATAGGAGAATATTATTCGGCTTGATCATCAATAAGGGAATACGTATACTTCTAGGAGACTATCTTGAAGCTTCTTATAGCAAATGAGAATAAAAAAAGTCGAGATACTAATTAAAGAAAAAAGGAAGATATTTTTCCCTTCTAATGAAGAGCTTAGTAGTCAGATTCCGGGAAAACCGTAATCGTTGCAATTCTGTACAAATTTCTAGAAGTGGCGGGTTCTTCACGCACTTTCTAAAGGTTTTATTTCGTTTTCTCGAATCAGTTGAGGTTATTTAATTTGACATACCAATTGGCATAGTTCTCAAGAAGTATTTTTAATAACCTGAGTTAAGCAGTTAAACGGAATCAAACATTTCTCCCCGCTTTATGAATTTAACTGGATTTATTAAGTCACGCTATGCACAAACTATGTAAACATTAGTGAATTAACAACGATTCGCCTTATTGACATATTGAATACTTTCATGCAATTTTGTAAGCGGCCTATTTTTTGACGCCTTATTTTGAGGACTAAAGATACTCGTATCACGTTTGGCCAAGTGAGTTATCATGGCGTCCGCCACAGCCGCAGAAGAAGCCTTGCGTGCAACGGACGGAAAAGAGAATTTTCAGCGGTTGACAAGGCTTTTGATGTGTGGAGGCGTCAGGCTTTTACGAGAAAAGTTTGATTCTATTCACCCTCCCACCGATCTTCCATCAACGCTCGATGATACGGGTACACGTGATTTGCTGAGAAAAGCAAACCTTTTCAAAGAACAGTGGGATTGCCTCTACCCTTCACCTGGTACGTTTGGCAAGTCCACCGATTTCGATATCATTTTAATGTTTAGATTATTCAGAACAATATGCAACCTCACAGAGCCTGTTAATACTGGATGGAACAATCCACCCAACAGTACAGACCACAGTCTTGAAGCAGATTTGGTACGAATAAAAAACTACCGCAATTCCGTTCACGCGCACAGCAGCAAAATGGAAATTACGGACACTCAGTTCTGCACTCTTTGGAACGAAATCAGCGAGTCTCTTTTACGAATTGCTGGATCTATGGGTGATGCAAAGCGATGTGAATGGAAAAAGGCCATTGATGAGTTGCTAACGGCTCCTCTAACGCGAGAAGCACAGAGATACCTGAAAGAACTTCAGTCATGGTACAAGAACGACATGGATGTCCTGAAACATGAAGTGGTAAAAGTAGGACATCATGTCCAGCAGGTTGATGCAGATGTCAAACATCTCCAACAAGTTAACTTAGATATCAGAGATCAATTCCAACAGGTCAATGATCAGCTCCAACAGCAAAACCAAAAACTGGGCGAGCTTAAAAAATAGTGGTTTGGCTATACTGAATATCATAAGTTCCGATGCCGTGATAACCGGATGACTGATTTCCCACTTTGGTTTCATTCAACAACATTACATTCCTTTTAATTAGTTTACGGTTCATTTTCATCCTAGCATTTTTCGTAACTCAGAATTCTTCATATTTTCATGTTTTTTTTCCTTTGTTTTGTTTTGTTTTGTTTTGTTTTTTTTGGCAACTTTTTTCCGATCTCTTTTAAATTTCGACATTGGGCAGTCGCCTGTCACCAACGCTACCTAGCCCATACCAACCGAACGTCTGAATATGCCAAAGACCGTTTGCATTTTTTTTTTTTTCACGGATATTATTTGTTTACTTTCAGATGATTTGAAAAGTCTTATTATCAACATCACCGGAGAAAGTTTTTCAGCACTTGGACAACCTCCTCCAAAAGAATCTTACATCTGGAAAACTATTTTATCACCTTCCTTGGACTTAGTTCAAAGTCTTCTGGAGTACCTAAGAAATAAGCTTGCAGTCCGTGTTATAAAGTACAGGGTGGGAAGTTTGTTGATAACTGTCACATGCAGCTCACTGCAAATCCTTGAAGGTCTGTGGGAAGATTACAGGAGTGGCCATCTCAATAAAGTGATCGAGCAAACACTTGTAACACCGGATGTTCTAGAGAAGCTTGGGTTTAGCGAACTGAAACTAAAAACCACAATTTCAGATGAAGAGTACAACAAATGCAAAGAGTTCTTTTTCAGTGAACATAAAGGTGAGAGGCGCAGATTGCTTAATGCAAAATTACGCTAAGAGATTCATCAAATCTAGTCACCTTACATTTGGTGGCCAACTTTTCAACATGTTTCCAACCAGCACCGTGATAAATGAATTTTGTTAATAGGTTGCAATTAGCAAATAGGTTACAATTAGCATTGTAAATAATTTACTTTTTTATAGTGAATTTAACTATAAAAAATTGCTGAACATAAAAACTCGGCGATTGGAAAACACCATTTGGAAGCCCACGGGGATATAAGCCTCCTCAACGAAAGCCAGTTTCGAATTCTCCGAAAGTGCCAAGGGATATTTGATTGCCTCGTCTATGAGATGCTTTGTATAAAGGAGCGGAATCCAAGCTTGAACACGCAAACTGACTCCATCCGTGCGAAACTCTTTGTTTAATTTTAAACATTTTAACACATCCATTGAACTATTGTTTTACTGACTATTTATACATTTTTTAACAACTATCATTTTGACTTGATAATGACGTTAGCTCAACGTCGAAACGTCGTCGTTTTTTAACAAAATTTTTAACTTTCTCAATATGCTTAGAAATATTTTGTCGCAATTTTTTATAGTTAAATGTTTAGAAAAATCGCTTCTTATTCGTATACTTATAGTGAATTGTAAATTTTATTTAAATTTCTATTACTTGTTTTTTTATTCAATTTTTAGCTTTTAATTGAGTATCCCCAGTTAGCTCTTAGCTTAGAGCTAAATACTTGTTGACACTTAAATAAAGTTTATGTATGTATGTATATGGAGCAAAGCTGCCAACTTTAAGGTATGTGTTATTTAACTCTACTGACTATGAAATATATCTTCGATGAACTCAAAGATCGTCTTCTCGCTATTCAACCCTATATAAACCATTGATAGTTCCATTATCCTTAACGTCAGTGAACTTAATCGGCTCTGTTCGAGTTTGTTTTCAATTCATTGAATGTTTTAGTCTGTTGCCTTTCGAGTTTCTTTACATAACAATCTATTTTGTTTGATTCTCTGTTTCTATTTCTCAAAGAACAATGAAACAAGTGGAAATGTAGAAGATGAAGAAAAAGAAGACCAACAAGAAGGAGAACAAGAAGAAAAAAAAGAAAATGAAGAAGTACCACTCCAACTTAGAAACGAGCTGATGAATTACGACTTTCACAAGTGCCCCAGAATTAATAAAGACGCTTTTCAAGATTTGGTGGTGGACGACATTGACCTGATACGCATTGCTGTAATAGGGCCGGCAGGTGCCGGAAAAACAAGNTCAATAACGTAGAGCCTTCGCATGAACTCGTGGGGAGCTAGGTATGGAGTGTTGGAGCGATAGATAGTTCTCGCACCACCGGAAAAACTCCCTCCGCGAGAATATAAATGATAGGCCCAGAACGAGGTTTAGTTACAAGACCCCGGTGCTGCACGCTCAGCCAATAGGCCATTCCGAGTTAAAACGTGTCTTCGTGCAAAACCTTTCAGTTAGGTGAAAATGAGTTTGATTTGCATGGAAATGAACCTGTAGGCGGAACACGTTTTCACATGAATGGTTTCGGACGAAGACTCATTTCGACACGGAGGCAAAAGGCAACTCGGGAATGGCCTATTTCAAAATGACTCCCCAGTTTTCCGATGAAATGTACTCTGCTCCATCCAGTTGCTTTAATCACTCTTCGTTTTCATTGAATTAACAAGGCCCTTTACAGCGAGCCCTTAAAAAACCGCAGACCGCAGCGGATCCGGATTTGGAACGCTGTGAAGGTACCGTTATCCTTGAAGAACACTACGCACAGGAAAAAATACGAGTGGTGGATACCAGAGGATTTTGTGTGAGCGATG